GGTCCAGGGGCACGCACTCCAGTTGGTCGGGGTCCAGGTCCAGCTCCTCGGTGTCGGGCGGCTTGTTCTCGTCGCTGTAGTAGAAGGACACCTCGATGAAGCCGGGCTCCAGCTCGTCCTTGATGCTGCCGATGATGTCCAGGAACGAAGGCCGCATCTTGGGGTTGAAGTGCCAGCACACCTGCATGAGCTCGAACCTGCGGGGAGACGGACGGTGGAGATGGGCCCCACCGGCCAGGCTGACCGGGCCCAGCTGCTCCGGGGCCAACGCTTGCTCTGCCTCCCTCCCCGGGTAAAACGGGCACGCTGGTCCCGGTTCTGTGCCCTCTCAGAGTCTCTGGCTGTCCTTCTTTTTAAACAAATATATTTCTATTGATTTCAGAGAGGAAGGGAGAGGGAGAGGGAGAGAAACATCCATGATGAGAGAGAATCATGGATCGGCTGCTTCCTGCACGCCCCCTACTGGGGATTGAGCCCGCAACCCGGGAATCGAATGGTGACCTACAAAGGCCAACTGGAGCTCCTCATATCTAGGGAGATCAAAGCACCCCGAAATGGCTTCCCGCCATCTGTTGGGGTGACCATTTGACCAACAGACCACCCTGTGGCCCCAGGGAGAGAAGCGGTGGGGCACAGACCGCAGCCTGCAAAGAGACAGCTCCCAGGCCGGCCAGGCCGGCCGCCTTGAAAGGCGTGGGGAGGAAGGGGTCAGGGAGGTCAGACGGACGTGACCCTGAGAGGGGTGTGTGGGAGCCAGGCCTGCCGCCTGCTCTGCCGCCTGCTCTAATCAAGGGGTCAGGGAGGTCAGACGGACGTGACCCTGAGGGGAGTGTGTGGGAGCCAGGCCTGCCGCCTGCTCTAATCAATCAAGTTCAGTGGCAACAGGAACAGGCTCATTTGTTTACAGTGTCTGCGGCTGCTCTCGAGCTCCTATGGGGAGTGGAGGAGTCGGAACAGAGGCCATCTGACCTGCGGGCCCGAAACATGGGCCGTTGTGGCCAGCTGGTGAGCCCTGGGAGCCGCACTGACCAGGGCCAGGGATTGAGCCTGCAACCAAGGTACGTACGTGCCCTTGACCGGAATCAAACCTGGGACCCTTCCGTCCGCCGACCGACGCTCTATCCACTGAGCGACAGCGGCCAGGGCCTGATGCCTCCTTCAGACCATCCCAGCGTCCCAGCCCGCCCAGCACAGCGCTGTCCCTAAAAGGAAGTCTGTCGGACGCTGCGGGATTCCAGACCTGTCCACACCCTCTCCACAAGCAAAGTCTGCAGCAGATCTAGGAGGATTTATGAGCCGATGGAACTCGCCTTTAGAAAAAGCACATTTTCTACAGCCGGTCAGCTCTGGTGCGTCGGAGCGTCCCTCACTGAGCTCCCCGCTGGTGGGGGCGGGGGAGGGCGCGCACAGCCCTGCGCCCGGGTAGGGACAAGACTACACGGAGCTGCTACGCTGAGATAAGCTGCCTCATTCAGACACAGGGGCCCAGGGGCTGGGGGACCACAGCCCTGCCCGCTCCGGCCTGCACACCGCGTGCCTGTTTCCCCACCCTACTGCGTGCGTAGGTGATCACAGCCTACTGCGTGAGGTGGTGATCACAGCCAAGGCACGCCGTGCAGCCCCGGCTGGTGTGGTTCAGTGGATAGAGTGTCGGCCTGCGGAACAAAGGGTCCCAGGTTCGATTCCCGGTCAGGGCACATGCCCGGGTTGTGGGCTCGATCCGCAGTAGGGGGCGTGCAGGAGGCAGCCGATCCATGATTCTCACTATTGATGTCTCTATCTCTCCCTCTCTGAAGTAAAAAAATATGTATTTAAAAAAACACACAAAAAACTTCCAGTAGTGATTCTCAAACTCGCCTAAACAAAGGAATTCCTCCCTTTGTTTGGCTCTGTTGGCCCTCCTGCTCTCTTAGCACTCTTGTTGCAGGGGGCATGCTCCCCTGCATTCTCCCACAAGGCCCACACAATGGACTAATGGATTACAATCAGTCTGATGCACTGTTGGACTCAACTCCACCATGGAACAGAAACTTTGGACCCAGTCCCCCAGCGCCGCGGGGCCCGGGAACCACGTACAGCATGTCAGGGCAGTTGTCGGGCTTGTCCAGAAGGCCGCCCTCCATGACGAAGCGCAGAACCTGCTCGTTGGACAGGCCCTGGTAGGGCTGCTCGGCCAGCGTGGCGATCTCCCAGAGCACGACGCCGAAGGACCTGCAGAGAGGAGAGGGGCAGACGTGAGGCCCTGACGGTGCACAGAACCACGTG